AAAAAAAGGGGAGGGGTGGGGGGGGGCCTTCTTTCCAAAAAGGATGCTGTGTAAATTCTGGGAATTATTACTATAGAAGAATATTCAGGGCCACTAACATCAGTCTGTATCATGGAGTGTATTTATCTGCATTAAATCACTGTGTAAACCAAGCATGTTTTTAATACAAATTTTGTTTCTTTTAAATTCATGTACAGTGTATGTACTTCTTTTCGAGGTACTTTTGCAAACTAAACAGGGCCTTCAATTCGAGATGGGCTTCTTCTCAAGATTAAGCCCATTGTGTTTCTATTCGTGGTTTTATGCTTAAATAGAAGATAATGTACTTTTGTGCTATAAATGTAAGGATGCAACTGCATTAGGTGTACACGCACCTTTTCATTGGTATCATGCTAAGAAACTGTTCCGAAGCTGCCTCATTCTTCCATAGCTACAAAATGAAAAATACTATTATTAAGTATTCAGAAATTATGAAACCCTCTCAAAAAAGCATTTATTTATTTTGATAGTTATACATATACAGTAATACATAAATTAATGATGTGCTCCCATTTTCAACATACACATTCTGAGATTTATGATTAATATCACTAAAATACCTGACCTGTGCCTAAATTTAAAAAGAATAATACCATGCTTACCGCTTCACTGAATTTTGTTTTAATGACTCCAGGAGCAAGGGCGTTGACCCGTATTCCCATACCAGCACATTGTGGGGCTAACGCCTTGGTTAAGCCAAACAGAGCAGTTTTGCTCACTGAATAAGGTCCAAGATACTGATGGAAAATAAGTATTGATGGTTAATATTTCATCTGATAATTTTGCAATACAAATTTTGTATTCATTTTGAATAGTTTACTAATAATAATAAATTTAATAATGCTAATAAATAAGTTAATAAACCAGTTTATTGTTAAGGTTGGTGTTTAGAATTCTTGTCTTCCAATTTCAGAGTACTTAGTTCAAATCTGATCGAAATTAGGATTTGTTAATAAAAAAATATACACAGCTTCACTTCTTAAGGCTCATAATGGGACTTAGTTTATAGATTATCACTTACAACCTGTACAGTGGCCTATCAACGAGTCTTGAAATTTGGGGGCTGATGGGGAAAAGGTGGAGTTGGGGGCTCGATGATGCTAGGTCGCCAAATATCATGAAATGAGGTAATTTTTAACTACTTAAGTGTAATTTTTTACTTAGGACATTTTCAAGGGGGAGAAACACCCCCGTCCCCACAGCTGCTATATACGCCACTGGACTTGTAAATGAGATAGGATAAAGTGTCAAATTGCCAAAATTATGAATAATGCCTAATGGCATATCTCATTATAGAAAAGATAATCAATTTTGTTAGCAAAAAATAGAAAAATATTGTTATTTGTTACAGTTATTTGTAGTATTTATATAGCGCTAATCCTTTAGGTTACAAAGAGCTTTGTTTTCCCAGGTCATTGGGTCCAATACTTCAGTGTTTCTGCTATATTGGCGCAGTATCAGGCAACCCCACCAGGTACCCATTGGAGATGCCCATCATTTTCATACCTCAAAAGGAACATAACCACCAATGGATGAAACTATGACTACAGAACCACCGCTGTCAAGAAAATAAACAGTTTGTTAGTAATGTAAAACAAATACAATATACACTAGTGTTGAACTATTAGGTAAAAATTGTATATTTGGGGCATAGTGTTGCAATGTGTCAACTAGCATGTGACAATACTGTGTATTTAGTACTTAGAAGGCTCTAATACTTTTACTTATAAATTGGACAACAGTAAATTCCAGGATTATGGTCCAACATTTTAAAGCAAATAATGTGGAGAAGGGCAAATATAGATATTTTATCTTTTTGCCGTTAATACTGGCTTTGGGATGGCATGTCTCATTAGAATTCTCTACTATACGCAAGTTATTATGTCTTCAATTGAATAAGAAAATATTTTTCTTGCCAATTTAATAGATGCCTATATATTTGTTCTTAATATGTCCTTTGCAAATATTGTTAAGCTGGCAAGTAATCGATTTAAGATTTTTTTTAGTGAAAAAGTGTAAACCACCGAAAACCAGATTCTTTTGATCTGTCTCATTGAAAGTAAACTTACTTTTAAAATGTTGTAATGTAGTGATTAAATATTTTGATTAAATTTTGAGGGGTTTTATTACTCAAATTTCATCTCAGGCCACAGGGTATACCATACTTATATGGTTATCCTCTTGCTCTCATTTTTGTGTTTTTCTGACTTTTGTTGTGATATAATATGAGGACAATAAATAATAAACAAACAAACACAGTTTTTATACCCTCTTTTCTCCATGTGTGGAACAGCATCCTTAATCATTAGAAACGTTGCCTTTACATTAACATCAAATATCTGTGAAGTAAAATGTATATTAGGAAGTGCTGCACAAGAGAAAATCAGCTCAACTACCTGCCTCCATGCAAGAACAGCTCTCAGGTTCTCACATATACATAAAAACTATAAAACCTATTAAAATTGTAATCAAATGTTTCATTTAATAATAGTAACAATAACAATAACAATAATAATAATAATAATAATAATAGTTCAATTTGCTTAAAGCCTCAATACACTTTACATTTAAAGTAAAAATTCAGAATAATCCAGCATGGAGCAAAATGTAAATAAAAAAGATGTGTTTTTGAGTTGTTGGTTGTATGTGTGTTAGTTGATTGAATTTTCCGAAGGACAACTGTGGCACAAACAAAATGACCATGATGTGTTGAACAAAATGACCGTAATGTGTTGAACAAAATAACCATGATGTGTTGAACAAAATGACTGTGATGTGTTGAACAAAATGACCATGATGTGTTGGATAAAATGACCATAATGTGTTGAACAAAATGACCGTGATGTGTTGAACAAAATGACCATGATGTGTTGGATAAAATGACCATAATGTGTTGAACAAAATGACCGTGATGTGTTGAACAAAATGACCGTGATTTGTTGAACAAAAAGACCGTGATGTGTTGAACAAAAAGACTGTGATGTGTTGGATAAAATGACAGTGATGTGTTGAACAAAATGACCGTGATGTGTTGGATAAGGCATAAGCCTTGTCCAGACTATCCAATTTCATTTGACAAGAACATGTGAAATGCCTAAATATGGTCATGATTACATCACAACTTTATCATATATAGGCACATCATGACTATATACGGGCATACAAGATTGTTTTCAAAGAAAATTTGATAATCTGGACAAAGCTTTTAGGCAAAACTATGGAAAAAATAAAAGTTGAAGTTGTGTGATGCAAGAGTAAGCTTACCTTCTCCCATGCTGCTTCAGAGGTCTACAAAAGATTTGAAAGAAAGTATTATTCATCATGCTGAATGAAATATACACTTATAATAATAATAATAATAATAATAATAATAATAATAATAATAATAATAATAATAATAATAATAATAATAGTAGTAGTAGTAGTAGTAAATAATAATAATAATAATGACAATAATAGTAATAATATTAATAATAATAATAATAATAATAATAATAATAATAATAATAAGTGGGATTTGTAAAGCGCATAATACATATAAGAAACTAAATACAAACATGTACATTGTTTAATGTCAAGCTATTTATTCACTTGTTTATTCTTTGAAATTAATTTACTACATTCCATTTATCAATAATATTCTGTATTTCATCCAGTGCTGTAGAGCACAATTTTGAAAAAAAAAAACCAGGTTTATGCCATTAAGTCAACTTACATCTAGAATTGGTCCAAACACAGGATTAACTGCAGCGTTAGAAACAAAAATATCAATTCCACCATAGTCTTCCACAGTCTGAAAAGTCATTAAAATAATCTGTCATATATACCAGTAAAAAGATAGTAAAAGATGAGTTTTTTGGATTGACAATGGATGAGGAAGGTAGATTAAAGGGAGCACGCTGTCTTTATTTATTGTATGTTTATTATTTGATAATGATAGTCGAGGATTATAAATTATTATTTTTTTTTTTTAATAAAAATAAAATTGTACTTATTTGTATTATTTCAAATGCAATAACATCTTGTAACAGATACATTGTTGTCTTGAGCTTACATTGTTCTTACCCTGTCAAAACCCACATTCTTATGTGAGCTATTCAAGGTAACCATCAGGTGCAGTCCAATTGGGGGAGGGCATGTCCCCCCTCCCTCGTTTTGCCACTAGATTTTAACATTTCAATGCATATATTGAAATTGTCACTACTCACTATATTTATTTTGAATATTTTGAGCCATCATTTAAAAAATTCTGGATCTGCACCTGACCTTGTTTGAACCAGTTTCTTCTGTGCAAGAAGTACACAATTTACCTTTCTGCCAAACACTTTAATGTGATAATAATGATTCAACCTTAAATTAACATTTTTTAATTTATTATTCATTTTTATTTATGATATTTTTAGTTATTTACACTTAATATATCATTTTTTTTAAATATAATTTTAACTGGTGACCATGTCTTAAAGTTTGATTCTAAAATTATTCTTAGTTCTTTTTACTATTATGCTTTTTTGTTACTGTATGTATGTGTATAAATAAATGAAACGACGATTGATGAGAACGATGGCAGTGACATCTGCCAATTGAAGGATTAATAGTATAACAACGATGGTGATGATTGGTGAAGGTAACAATGATCATTCTGCCGATGATTATATTGAGAAATTTGGCCCAATATAAGTTATTGTTACTGAATGACAATTAGAATTAAAAGCCTTTCTTTTTACTGGATACCCAATCAGTGTGGGTCCAGATAACAAAAACGTAAATTTCATACAAAAATATATGAAAATAAAAATTATAATGAAGAGTTAGCTACAAAAAGCAAATTTAAATTAGATCTTTGAAATATTTTTAAGTGTATAGTGCTGCAAATATTTGAAGGTAGGCTATTCAAAAGTTTAACGGAACAATATTTAAAAGTTCTTTTACCAGATTCATTTTGCCATTTTAGCAAGACCAAAGTGTTTTTGGATTTGCTTCTTGTATTTATATTGTGATAATCATCAATAGGATCATAGAAGTTAATTAAATATTCAGGAACAGAGCCTTTTAAACATTTGAAAGTCAATACAAGAATATTGTGATCCCATCGTTGATTGACGTGACCTATTTAGTGATTTCATAAGTTCATCAACAGGTGTCCTAATATCTGCATCCAGAAGTGTTCTGGCAAGTCTGTTTAGTAAAACCTGAAGTGTATTAAGATGAGCTATTGTACAGTTGGACCATACCGAACTACAATAGTCGAAAAAATGGTAGAATTAAAGCGTTTGATAAAAGTTTAAGTGAAAAATTTGGAATAAAACTCCATAACCTACAGATAACACCAATACACTGGGAAATTTTTAAACAAAAAATTCTCAATATGTTTATCGCACGTTAACAAAAGTATCAAAAGTAATTCCTAAGTACTTAAAATTATCTACTCTAATGCAGACAACTGAGGTGATGATGGATGATAACTAGATAAATGTGATGGTGACTTCACTGATAATACCTTATTGATAAGGCGTTGTCTATGGTCGGCTTTCGCTACATGGCACACCATCCCTGAAACCTTTATGTCCTCGGATTTGAGTTGATTCACAGCTCTGTCTACATTATTTTCTTTTCTGCTGCTGACAACAACATGAGCGCCTTCTTGACCAAGGCGTCTTGCTATTGCAAAGCCAATTCTTGAGTTTATGAAGGGAAAAAAAAACGATAATTAATTCAAAACAATTGGAAACATAAATTATGTGGATTTTCACAATAAAACTTATTTATAAGATTATTTTTTAAAACAGAATTAAAATAATTAACATCTGTATTTAAAAAAAAGATTTTACATAGACGTAGGTTGATTTAATATGCTGAATCATTATTAATGGTATATATCTATTATAAACTATAAATTAATCAAGAATTTCTCATTAATCAAACTATTGTAAATAAGCCCATTAAAGTATTATTCATGCACTGTTATTAGTTTGAGGCTGTCTCTTATACACATCTAGATGTGTATAAGAGACAGGTATCATATATAAATATATATATTTACAGGGTATATACGTACCATATAAAAAGTCTATGTTGACATGTTGACGGTTGGTGACGCTAATTAATATGTGGACAGTTGACAGTTTTTTACACTTATGACCAAATTAAAATAATATAGACTAGCCTAGACCCAATCAATTATTGATACAATAATGTCATCTATCAATCAAAATATCTATATTGAATAATTAAACAGCAGCTTTTTGATGTCGTTGTGGCTATAGATACAGTACCGTATTTCTACTTCCAAGGCAAGGCCTAGGCATTGCTTAGATTCTTCGCTTGGCAATGGCCCTGCTGTGGTGATAGATCGATCTGAGTGGCATATATCAGTCATAAGCTAATTTCTCCATGGTCATACCAAGTCTGAAGGTCTCAACACACAAAATCACATCACAAATTTTAGTCCAAGAAGCCTAGGTTATAATACTATACTCGAAATTACCACGCTTTACAATCCGACCAAAATATTAATATACTTTGAATACACATGCAACTGTACACTTACCCAGCTTTTACGTAGACTTTGTCACCGTTATTCCCTAATCGAAAACATCGTTCGGCCAGAATCCATCGATCACAGAATATTTCCCCAACCACGCACAATCATTAGTGTCAAATTTTCCCAGATTCTTTTGATACAGGCCCATTTAAAACAGTACTACAGTACATAGAATGTCGTGAGTGGATTTCCCGTAAGATTAAAAATCGTAACGGTACTTCTACTGGGTTTGGTCTACAGGGGTTCATGCTTCGAACAGGTCATTTAAAAAGTTTGGTCCTGAAGATTCAGGCATTGTTTGTTATATGGCAATAGATAAATGACATGACTCTTACTACTGAATGGAACCCCTTACCCCTATTTATCGATGACAGTATTATAAGAAAAATATTGTATAATTTGCCTAGCTAATCATATGCTAATCTAGTCCTGTACATTGTATCATTGTGTCACAGGCACACCGCTCACTGTGGGCGATCGGCAATGCCAATGCTGGTCTTGAAAGATGATGTCACACACATTTTGTACTTTATTGATTGGGTGATTGTGACATAATGATGCCATTTACTGTACCTTTGCCAAAAAGTAGAAATACGGTACCGATCTCTAGCCACAGTGTTTTGATGTGACAGGGCCAATAGAAAACTGCAATTTTTTGCACTGTGGGAGTGCCGATAGAAAATAGGAGCTTTCTTCGCACTGTGGCAATGCCAATAGAAAATAACAACTTTTTTCCCACAGTGGCAGTGGCGATAGAAAACAGCAGCATTTTCACACACTGTGGCAGTGAGTGCCGATAGCAAACAGCAGCTTTTTTTTCGCTCTGCGGCTGTGGCAATCTCAGCCCCTTGGCATGGTTTGACAAACTGTCGGACTGCACATGACAGGCAGCCAGACATGTGATGGCTAAGATGGACTCCTTTTTTATCACAAATTGGTGAGCACTGACTGACTTGGCATGGCTAGCTAGTTAGACCTAGTCCTAGCCCCTACCTAGAAGAAGAGTAGGGACCACCTAGCCCATAGGCTAGAGTAAAACGAAGTTCGACATTTCCCTACCCGTCCGATGAAGCAGTGACAATTGCTACTTTCCCTTCCAGTCTTCTTGCTTTGGGCACTGAAGCCATTGTTGAAGTACACCTTGCACCGATTATACCAGCACCTTTTTGGGATCGTGCTAAATCCTGTAAAAAGATAAGGGCACGACGCCCGACCATCGTCATGCTGAAGTTTGTTTTGTTTATCAATCAAGCTGAGTGCAGCGTGACCACTCACAATTTTTTATATATACCAAAGATACTAGAAATACAAGATAGAGTTCTCGCATTGTAAAAATGAGGCGGAAGTCGTGCCCAACGTAGGCGGCGCCCTTCTTTTTAACCATGCAAGTTTCCTATACTTCGTGCCCAACGTACAGGGCGCCCTTCAGT